GCCAAATGGCCTCTTTCTATACTGTTGGGATTCTTTTACATGATCCACATGTAAATTGGCATTGGGTAAAGCGGGTTAGAGACATGGATGCATGGATTCTGTCTGAAAGACAAAGAGGAGAATTGAGTTTTTCTTTGTCAGGCATTGACACCAATGGGAGAAAATGGGATCTGTACCAGTCTGCACCTGAATCATATTAGGGCTGGTGTTCTTGTGGACCGCATAACTAGGAATGTAGAGCAGGGTTTAATCTAAGTAATGGAGGCCAGGGCCCAAATTCAGGAGGTTGTAGTGAATGAGAGTAGAGAAAAGGCAACAGAGGAAGGAATTAAAGATAAACTGACAATAACAGAAAGGGATAGAGAATACAGATCTAAGAGCAAAGAAGGTTAGAAAAAGAATAAAAGGACAAAATTTAAGGCAATGCATTTGAATGCACATAACATTCAAAATAAAACAGATGAACTATTGTATGTCTTGAAATAACTAAGTGCAATCTCCTGGGCTGTAACTGAGATGTGGTTGCAGGATCAGCTAGACTGGAGCCTGAATATTGAAGGGTATGTGACATTTAGGAAGAACAGGAAGCTAGAAAAGGGTGGAGGAGTTGCTCTGTTTGTTAAAGATTATATTAGCATGATAGAGAGGGATGAACTTAATTCAGGAAACCGGGGTATAGAAATATGAGGAATATTGGGCAAGGGGTCACTTGTGAGAGTTTTCCCTAGCGAAAACCATGCGGTGGGACCAGGTATCAAGGAAGAAATAATGGGAGCGTATTATAAGGCTACAGCGATTATTATGGGGGGGTGGTTAACCGACATGTTGGCTGGAAAAACCATGTGGGGGAAAAGGTAGAGTAGATGAGGAATTCATTGACTGTTTTCGGGGAAGTTTCTGGCAGGATGTCACAAGTGGTGTGTCACAGGAGTCAGTTCTGGGGCCTCAACGTTTGACAAGTTATACAAGTGATTTGGATGAAGAGATTGCAGGTATGGTGGCTAAAATTGCTGAAGATGTAGGAAAGTGAGCTGTGGAGAGGAGGTAAGGAGACTACAAAGGGATGCAGATCGGTTCATTGAATGGACAAAGAGCTAGCAAATGGGAGTGAAATGTGGGAAAGTGCACAATTCACAGAAGGTTAGTCTGCAGCTACAACAAGTAATCGGGAAAGTGAGTAGAATGTTATTGTTTATTGCGAGGGGACTTAAAAGCAAAATTGAGACTACGTCTGTAGCACTGTGTACATTGGACGGGGTATTGAGTACAAGAGTTGGCAGGTCATGTTACAGTTGTATAGGACTTTGGTTCGACCACATTTGGAATACTGCGTACAGTTCTGGT